CAGCAGACGAAAAGCCCAAATCTGAACTGAAATGGGCAATTCTGTCTTCACAGTTTCCATTTATGCACATGGCTTCTCTCTCATATATGCATCAAACTCTTAAAAAGCTACCTGTGCTAGCTGAGTATTTACAGAACAGTCTTACGAAAGCTATTTGCCATGGCAATAATAAGTTTTTGCCAGGCTGAGCCAACCCTATGTGCCATTGTTGCAGTGTCAGCTCTTCTCAGATGTGACAGTTCTGAATGTCAGGGAGAAAATCTATGCAGATCAGCTTGTGCTATTCCATTGAGACAGCAGCTTCAAAATCTATGCAATTATTAAAAGGTGGCAAACTCGCACGTAAGGATTCCTAGACTGCAATGCTTTCTAATTTTGATCTTTTGTTAATTTTGATTGTAATGCATAAAAACTCCAGTTTGGAGCAGTATGTAATGATCAGGGCTCTACATCTTCTATGGTTTTACTACTGCAACTGTGACAAACACTTCAGTTGGATGCAGTGAATGATCTAGCTCAGGGATGAGCAACCAATTTTTAGCTAGGGGGCATTTCGTCAAAGGAGAATTAACTAAGTGATCCACTACAGTAATTGTAAGAAAATCCACTAGTTGTTAGAATCTCAGTACCCCTTCTCACAGGCTGAAAATGAAATATATAATGGCAAACTTTAAAAAGAGAACTAGCTTAATTTGTAAAATTAGAGTGGTAACAACTTTTAACTTTAATTCGTTCAAAGGTTGGCTTATCATAGTATGATTTTCTTAGGCATGCTGCAGATAAAATCAAATTTTAATAAACCACTGAGTCATAAAATAATTTCCTCTATTCACCAAGCACTGTGCTGGATTCAACCAGAGAAACGTTCCTGTCTATAATGAGGAAGAAGTCTTTACAGGTACTTACTGACATTACAGATATAAGATAACTCTGTACAGGGAGCAACAAAATGTTTTGGCTGTGATAAAATACTTCCACCTAATGTACACAGAAGAGAAGTGCAAGAAAAAGCCACAATGCTTCTTAGACATAAGTGTTTATCCAAAGGTATTTTTTTCCATTCTGTCTGGAGAAAAGCAATTCCTTTCAATGTTCAACCCAGATGTTCCTAGCATTTATCAGCACAGAATAGGGTTCCCAACTAAGAGATAATTTTAATTACCTTTACTTACAGCATGGACTTCCTAGTTGTTTCCCCCCAACAATGTGTACAGGATTTCAGCATAAATCAGCTTTTCTTCAAGTTGCATGCAAATTCCAGTACTAGGGAGGTCCATGCTAGCCAATTCTTTCAGGCTTCTTACATCCCATCCTTATCCAATTCAGTTAATATTTTTCTTCCTGACATTTTCTGATCTACAGCTTTAGGCCCTGGTTTCCTAATAACAAATAATTGTATAGAATGTGAAGGATCAAAAGTATGACTGCATACTTTGAACTGTTTGAATTACCAGTGAAACTAATTCAGATGGATCGATTGATGGGAACAATCAATTGGTCAAGAAGAAAAAAATCAAATGGAAGGCTGAGACTGAACACCACTCTTCAGTTTTTTTAAAATAAAATTGAGGTTCTTTTGTACTACTTTCATATGTTCAAAGAAAATTGCTGTTGGAGAACATATATTAAATCCAAGTTACCAGTTTCAAGCCAAGATCAATCAACTCTCAAATGCATAGTTGAAGGCGTTAGAGTATAATTGCTGCTTGCCTCATGTTCTGCATGCTCTATCTCTTCAACAGCTGTTCTTATGTGTGTATATGTCTTTGTATGTATGCGAATACAGGTACACACACAGATAAAATACTCTTTTCTCAAGACTGTATTCCAGGCATCCGATAAAGTGGGTTCTGATCCACAAAAGCTTAGCAGTCGTACATTTGTTAGCTTTTCAAGTGCCACAAGTCTGTTGTTTCTGTTGCATGAGATAAACTGGTCCACCAGAAACTACCTTATACTAGTTTCCAAAAGTGATAGATGCATTAATACGATGCAGCAAAAATAAGGGGGGGAAATCTCATAGTGCCTTAAAGACAATTTCTAAGTCACTAAATTGTCACTGATGCAGGTGAGGTTTAATTCTTTTATCTGTTACACTAGAGTACTTGTCCAGGCTGCTCACCATTGTCTATTCTGACTCATAGCAGCTCTTCAGGGTTTCAAACAGAGATCTTTCCCTTTATTTCCTACTACACTTTTTTTTTCTTTAGTTGGAAAAGTTAGTAAGAAGCCAGGAAATAAACTTGGGGTCTTCTGATATTTTATCCCCCTGTTCATTAAGTTGGGCTCTAGGGATCAGTTGGGATTGTTGTTGTTGTACCAACGTCCCCGCTGCACAGCAACCTCCCTGCCTGAGCTCCTTGCCTGAGCTCCTTGACTCCATTTTCAGGTTGGCAGTGGAGTTCCCCAGATTTATGGTTTTGGGGGACTTCAATCTGCCTTCTCTAAGAGTAGGGTCTGAGGTGGCCTGGGAGTTCATGGCCACCATGATGGCCATAGGCCTATCCCAGATTATCCAGAGGCCAACATGGGACAGTGGGTCATACACCAGATCTGGTGTTCCTGTCGGAGCAGTGGCTTTGTGATCTGAAATTGGGAGAGCTCCTGGTGTCTCTCTTGTCATGGTCAGATCACACCCTGATTACCATGGGATTCTTTAGTGCCACTATCTACTTCAGGGAGGCTGGACCCATTAGATTAGTCTGCCCTCGGTGACTGATGGACCTGGATGGGTTTCAGAGGGAGCTGGGGGCTATTCCTGCTGCTCTGCATGGTCCATCTGAAGCCTTGGTCAACACTTGGAATGGGGGGTGGATGAGGCTTTTGATCACACTTGGGCAACCTCTCTCCTCTTGGGGATCCTATCACTTCCTGTGGTTTACGGAGGAGTTGAGGGAAATGAAACAAGAGATATCTAGTGTTGCTGGCACTCAACAAGGGACAAACTGAACTGAACATGGGTTAGAGCCACTATTAAGGCCTACCTTGTGGTGGTAAGGGTGGCGAAGTGTCAGTAATTCTCTGCCCTTATTGTGTCTGTAGATAGCTGTCCCAATGCCCTGTTTCGGGTGACATGAGCCTTCTTGGGTGGGGAGGCTCAGAGAACCTCTTGCAGGGTGTGTGAAAGAATTTGTTCAGCATCTGTTGGACAAAGCCACTCGGATTTGCAGTTGGACACTGGCCTTGTTGCAGGTCCGGAGGAGTTGCCTGGGGAAGAGTCTTGCCCAGTTATCTGGGAATGGTTTCAGACTGTTGGGCCTGAGGAAATGGACAGGGTCCTTAGGACTGTGAGCTCAGCCACCTCCTCTTTAGATCCATGCCTCCCCTGGCTTGTTAAAGCAGCCCAGGGGGTGTTGTGTGAGGGGGTTCTAGCAGTGATGAATTCTTCTTTGAGTGAGGGGGTTGTTCCTTTAAATCTTAAAGACGCCTTGGTGTGCCCCCTCCTCAAGAAGCCATAGATTGCTCCACTATGCTGGACAATTTTTGTCCAGTATCTAACCTCTCCTTTTTGGGGAAGGTAGTTGAGAAGGAGATTGTGCAGCAGCTTCCGAGGACCTTGAATGAAGCAGATTATCTGGATCCCTTTCAGTCGGGATTCAGACTTGTGTATGGGATGGAAATGGCATCGGTTACACTTTTGGATGATCTCTGGTAAGGGGGCATGGGGGTTTTGCACCCATCCTTGCCCTACGTGACCTCTCCGTGGCTTTCAATACCATCAACCATGGTGTCCTTTCTGGATCAGCTCAGAAGATTGGGGTGGGTGGCACTGTGTGGTGCTGGTTTGCTTCCTTTCTCTGGGGTCAATTCCAGTTGGTGGTGATCAGGGAGGAGAGATCCCACCCTTGGCCCCTATTATATGAGGTGCTGCAGGATTCGGTGCTCTCTGCCCTCCTAATTAACATCTACATGAGGCCGCTGGGTGAGCTCATCTGTCACCATGGGGCGAGATATCATCAGTATGCTGATGATACTCAATTATATATCTCTGCCCCTGGCGAATTAAGAGATGCTGTGAATGTCTTATTTCAGTGTCTGGACGCTGTGAGGGTCTGGATGGGGAACAATAGGCTTCAGCTGAACCCTGGCAGGACTATGTGGCTTTGGGACCTACCAGTTCTAGGACTATGCCATCTTTGGTGTTGGATGGGGTTGTATTGCCCCAGACAGAACTGGTGTGCAATCTGGGGATCCTCCTTGACTCACAACTCTTGCTTGAAGAGCAGGTGGCAGTCATGGCTAGGAGGGCCTTTGCATAGCTTCACGTTGTGCACCAGTTGCACCTGTTCCTAGATTGGGGGGGGGGCTCTGCTCACAGTCACTCATGCCCTAGTCACCTCCCATTTGGATTACTGTAATGCGCTCTACATGGGACTGCCCTTGAAGAGTATTCAGAAGCTTCAGCTGGTGCAGAATGCAGTGGTGCAGGCAGTTATGTGTGCCTCCACGAGCTGCATTGCTTGCCAGTTTGCTTCTGGGTCCAATTCAAGGTGCTGGTTTTAACTCTTAAAGCCCTTCATGGCATGGGGCTGGGTTATCTGAGGAACCACCTCTCCCCAATTATATCTGCAGATCTGGCAGAGAAGGCATGTTGTGAATCCCATTTGTTAGGGAACTACACTTGGAGTGTCCCAGGAGGCAGGGCTTCTCTGCTGTGGTGCCTGCCTCTGCTGTGGTGCCTCCCCCCCCCCCTTCTGACAAAGTAAGGTTAGCTCCATCCCTGTTAATTTTCTGGAAGTCCCTCAAGACCTGGCTATATCAGGCCTGGGGGTCCCAGGGGACCAGTGAGATCTTGAGGTGGCTCCATTATTGTAGTTAACATCTAGTCTCTCTCGTGCCTTGTTTTTTAATTTTTTTTAAATAATGTCTGTTTTTTACATTTTGTTTTACCAATTGTTGTACAACGCCCAGTCACTTTTTGTGAGATGAGCAGCGATACAAATTTTATAAATATAAATTAAAAAAATGAATAGATTAAGATTGGCAGGCCTCTTATACCGTCACAATGGGGAAGCAATTGATGGCATCTGTTTCAGCTCTTTCTTTTGCAATAGTTTCATACCGTGTCTTTGCTATTAATGTTCCTCACTGATAAGAAATCATCTAGTGTGGTCTGACTGATCAAGAGGATCAGTATGTCTGGCTCATGGAAAGGAGCTCATAGCATCCAGGCACTATGCCCGACATTTACACAAGAAGTACAATGATCCCTGTGGAAGTAGCTAAGTGGGTGGCCAGTTTGGCTGCTCTGCTATCCTTTCACCATTAACTGAGGCATTCCTAGATATATTTTATTCAGTATCATGCTTTTCCAGTAAAATGCACAAGCATGAGCATTTGGGTCTTAAATCAAAACACCCTCAAAATCTTTTGCAATCCTAGAGAATCAATTCAAATCATCTTATGGTAAAGGGAGTTTCAATACATCATTTAAAATATATAAAAGGAGCAACACTTGCATTATTTGATTCTTTTTGCTTTCTTAGAACATTCATCTTGGGTATTTTAGCCACTTAACAGGTGTCAACCTATATATTTTATATGCGTAAAGAACTACATTCAAGCCCTGGCAGTGTCACAAAGAAATAGCAAAAGCTACCACACATTGAAATTAAGTTCACTATACCAATTTTGGATCTAAAAGTTGCTCATTGTTATTATAGTTTTGACTTTCATTACCAAATATACATGAAAAAAGCACTGAAGTAAAAACATTCATTACAAAACTTAATTCTGGTATAAATATGAAGTCTATTGAAACATCTTTACTTTCATTGTTGAATGATACAGATAATATGTGCATCGAAAAGTAAATTAAGTATTAATTCTAATGTTCTTGATCCTAAAATCAAGTACATTGATTTTGGCCATTAAGTAATTATACCAATGGAGTCAGGTAAAGTCTGATATTTGGAAGGTCACTTCTTTGCCTTTCTTATTTTTCAGAAAACACCCATTCTACTTTCTGAAGATGGTTGAAGAAAAAAGATGCAATGTTCAGTTATGAACTATTAACTATTAATTATCTTCTTCCAAAGCACACCAAGATCTTTATCACACCAACCTTACATGCTCCCCATTACACTGGTCCAAACCGCGCTTTCAAGTCTGATGGGAAAGACATTATTTATACACTTCAGAGAGATTGTGTTCAGGCAAAAAACACAACATTAGTCCACTCTGTACTGTGGCATACAAATCTTGAAATATTTGTCGATACGCCAAAATATTACTAGTATATGAAAGTCTCCATTCTGTGAACTTATTCCAATAGGTTTGGATGTTCAATCCATGTAATCATCCAGTCTGGTTTCACGCCCTGTGTAAATTCTCTTCGGAACCTTTAGAGAAAGCAAAACAAAACAATGAAGAGACAGTTGCATAAGCCAAGCAACAAACCTTTTGTTGAATGGTCTTAATAAAGCAGTTATTATGACTGCAATATTAATGTGGTGAACAAACTATAACACTAAAACTAGATTCAGATTTGGCTGCTAAATCCCACAGGTAGGGAACTGCAATCTGACTTAGATCGACAAAACAAGAAACATAGCACAAGATTTCAAGATCACCTTAATAGTTATATCTATGAATACTTTCATTACTAGATGAACTTACTGGAACACTAGAGAAATCTAGAGGTTCATGCAAGTCAATAATATCGTTATGGTTGAAGGCAGAACTCTGTGTTGAGCATACGAAGGAACTAGAAGCCCTTATGCTCTTCCACTAATTAATATCAGAATGTTTATGATACTGATGTAGGAAAAGGCTGTGGAATGGAGTCAACTAATTGTCCAAAGCACTTGTTCTTATTGTCAGCATTCCTAACTGATGCTTTTTATTCAGTACACCCCTTAAAATGAGGGGAAAAAAAAAAAGCAGAGATGACTAGATTAGAGAATGTTCATGTCATTCTGACATTTCTTTAGCGGCAGTACATATTTACATTGTCCTTCAAGAATCGTTCTCTGCCAGAGTTTCTATTAATCATTTAAACCAGTTAAGGGTTTCTGAACCAGCTGAGGGTTTATCTGTTTTGACTTTCTTTGATTATTGTTCTAAATACAATCTCTCATATTTTCAAAATTGTCTCTAAAACCATAAGAAAGCATAACTTGAAACTTTGATTTAAAAGAGGAATGCGAAATCTGGAACTAAGCATATGAATGCAAAGAAAAACACTAATTGTGATCAATATGAAAGTTTCCATGAGAATATTTTTAAAGTGAGAAGATTCTGGAGTTTTAGTGTTTTAGCTATACCCATAAGAAAATTGGTAGAGAAAATGGAGAGATGACATAGAGCCCTATTTTTTTTTCATTTTTCAATTCTTAGAACTGGAACTCTGTACAATCTTCTTACTGCTTAAGAGCAGTTCTCTCTAAACATCTGCTTTCATTTACAGCTAAAGAAAAAGCTACTCTAAACTGCCTTGCTAAAAACCATCCTCATATTAGGATTTATATGTGTATGAATGCTGCTCTGGCTTCTATCACACTCTTGAATAGGCATCCCAACCACATGTCCTCCAGATGTGTTGGACATTAATTCCCATAAATTATACCAAAAAAAAAAAAAAAAAGTAAGAGGAATCCCCAAAAATATAATAACTAGAGCTGGTATAGCCTTACACCAATACAGTCCTTCAATATACAGGTAGTCCTTGCTTAATGACCACAATTGGGACCAGAATCTCGATTGTTGAGCGAATGCCCAGGTGACTGCTTCGCCCAATGACCACAATCTGGACACTCCTGGTTGTGGTTGTTAAGCGATCTCCCAGGTCATTAAGCAGATGGAGCAAAAGAGCTGCTGCTGAAGGATTTTAGCTCTGCGCAGAGCTGAAATCCTCCTCGCACACAGCTCTTTGAGAGCAAAAGGGCTGCCTGCTGGACTGTTTCAGCCCTATGTGGAGCTGAAATCCTCCCAGTAGGCAGCCCTTTCACTCCCAAATGTTCCTGCAGCTTGCTGAGGGTTTTCCCCTCCTCTCCGTGTATGGAGGGGAAATCCTTCATGGGGCTGTAGGAACGGAGCTCAAAACCTGAAGATTTCAGTTCCATTCCTGCTGCTCCACAAAGGATTTCAGCTCCTCTCCATCCCCTCCACTTGCTACCTTCCCTGCCAGCTTCCCCTTTGACTTTCTGGGGAAGCCAGCAGAGAAGATTGCAAATGGCAATCACATGATTATGGGGCACCTGGGAACCCATTGTAAATGCGAGCTGGTTGCCAAGTGCCTGAAATGAGGTCACGTGACCACAGGGAGGGAGCAACATTTTATGATGGCCAAAAGTTTCCTTTCCGAGGCTGTTGTAACTTTGAATGGTTGTTAAACGACTGGTCGTAAGTTGAGGACTACCTGTACTCATTTATTTTTTTCCTCTAGTGAATGGGAAAATGTGGAAAAGGTGTTCTGCACTTTGCAATTTGCTTATCAGACAATCAACTGATTCCAGTCCTGTTTCCCCTTTATAAGCTGATTATAAACCTTTGCCTTTTTGAAAGACCAACTTAATAATAGCTATTACTGGCTTCCTAGACCATTTCATTCATACTGTACTGCTTATGCTCCCTATTTCTCCACAACAAAGCTCAGAGCAGCTAACAAAACTTCAGCTTTTTCATCCTTGTGCTTGCTTATTACATGAACTAAGGAGAGAAATAAATAACTTGTCCAAGACTTACCAAGACAAGATTTTCTAAATAAGCTGTTGTCTGAGAAGCAATGTTAGTCTTCCAATAAATTCAGTATTTTTTCTTGGTTAGTCTATGTTACAGGCAGGCATATTGCTCAAGATGCAGCAACATCACTTATATGATACACCACAGGAGCTACCCTTGTTTAAAATACACTGATTCACTTGAAGTTTCACCATATGCAGAGAATAAAATCACAGGTAGAAAATCAATGACTGGCTTACTCATAATTTGCTAATAAGAGTCGTCTTGTTTTTGGTGTGTTTTCACCTCTAAGCGCAATCCGGAATACTTTGGCTCCTTCTGGAGTCTTGTCAGGGATGTCAGCACTACTCAGATACCAGAAGGACATCAGGATACTAACAAACTTTCTTCCTGTTTGCAGGGTGATATAGATTTTGAAATAGAGAAAGACATCTTACAACATATGGAGAGACACAACAGGACACATGGCACTCTCTTTCTCTCTCTCACACACAAACAACTGTTTGAAAAAACTACTTGTGAAGATAGCAGTGGAATCAGCCAAAGCCTCTTTCAGAGGAAAAATATTACCCCTGCTCAGTTCCTCCATTTTTAAAAATTGTCTTTCAAAGCATGAATTGCCATATACTTGGTTCATGTATCAGACTAATCCAAAATTTACTTATCCAGAGTTTGCTGAATACATAACAATTAGCTGGGTTCATACGACATAACAACTGAAATGTAGACCAACCATATTATGGCTTAACATAATGTAGAAAACCAGCCAGAGTTCCTTTCTTTGTTTTTCACATGTGACTCTTCAGCCATAACTGACCCATAGCTGAGCTTTGAATTATTGCAGCCAATCAGTTTCAGCTACCAGAGAACCTGTTAACTGCTCCCACATTCACCACAGGAAAGATGGCTCTCCTGTATCTTCCTGTCTTTCTCTTCCCAGCAAGAAGCTAGGAAGTAGTATAGCCACAAATCAGTGGTCTTACAAACTTCTCATCCTAAGACCAGCACAACATAATTTTATGTAGGTTTGCAGATACCAAGTGGGAAAATTCATGGCTCAGGTATGAATTAGAGTCATTATTTGTTTCTAATATTTGTCATTCAAGTTATTAATTTGACTTAAAAGGAAAATTAGGAAAGCTGTTTGTCCTACTGGCCATCCCTGAGGAGAGAGATTAGCTGTGGTAAGATTTTTTAAAAAAAATATTGAGTTTCTCATTATACTAGATCAAATCCCGTATTGATTACTTGGAGTATAGTTACTGGTCAAAAGTATCAAAGGCCTTTCTTACCAACCTCTGAATGAATGTTAGGAATGTATTCAGCTAGTAAACCATGGATCTTCCTAAAGGGCCAAGCAAACTGATTGAGCTACTAGAGAACATGTTGACATAAAGTCCATTCCATATAACAGGTTGCATTGTTTTAGAATAGCAGTTCTCAAATATTTTGGTCTCAGGACCCCTCTACATTCTTAAAAACGATTGAGGACCCTAAAGAGCTTTGGTTTGTGTGGGTTATACCTATCAATAGTTGCTGTATTAGAAATTAAAACTAAGAAATTTAAAACTATTTATTTATTTGACTTCACAGATCCCCTAAAAGGGTCTTGGGAACCCCCAGGGGTCCCTAGACCACACTTTGAGAATTGCTGTTTTAAAAAAGCTACTTGATTTTACTTTGGGCTGAAAGAATACAGGCAGAATGAAATTTATACAAAAACAGACACAAATCAAAGTAGCAGACAAGTGTTCAACATGTAACACTAATTAAATGGAAAGAAAAGAAATTTTAAGCACTATTTAAAAAGGCTGAAGAATGCTTCTGTGTTTTGTAAGGGGTTCTGAAATGGAATGGAGGCATACCGTTGTCATCATAGTAAATGCCAACATCTCCTGTTGCTGTGAACATAATTTCATCCATCTCAGCAGCCAGGGCTTTTCTGTGGTTTTCAGAGAGCGAAGAGAGCTTCTCCCTTAGCATCTGAATCATCTGGGTTGGAAGGGGAATTGTTAACATTAGTGCCTACTAGTCCCCTTATACCAATTCATTTAATCAGATGTGTAATGGTTATGTAAGACAGTTATGGAGAACTACAGTATGCTGCCAGTCCTTGCTGTCACTTCAAAAGTCAAGTATTTTTTAAACATCTCAATAGTCTTGCTTCAGATAATTAATAGATAAGTCTAGTTGTTGTTGATCTCCTTTGTGCATATTCTGAGACTCCCACTTAATGTTGAAACTAGTAATTTGGGAAGGGAAGGGAAGGAAGGAGTTCTGAGCACATCAGTGGGAGATAACGTCTTTCAATGAGTGGCTGTTGGTAGAGATTACTTACTAATGAAGGAAATAGTCTTCTATAGGCACCTTTAAAGGTACCCTTCTTAGAACTCTTACATGATTTATTAGACTTAGTCTTCCCAATGAAAGTCTTTCAAAGATGATGCTCTGGAAAACCCTGACTCCAGTAAGATCTGCTGAGGGTTCCACCACTAAGAGAATGTGATCTTCATGGATTTCATCCTGAGCTTTCTCAGTCATGCCCACACCTTTTTGGAAAACCTAATCCTTGGATATTCAGACCATCCCTTCTTTACTAAATTTTATTATATTAAAACAGTAAGCAGTTCAGAGTTTCTGGAAATGAAGTGGCATGAAAGTTGTAATAATAAATTATTTAATTAAGTCCTACTTCTAGAAATGACATCACAGCTGAAGTAGCTAAAGTGTGAGAAAACCCAAGTTAGAATAAAGGGAAGAAACAGTTATTGTGGTTAAATTACAAAGAAACACTAATGGGAAGACAGAACTTGGTTCTTGCTCTTTTTAGAAAGTCAAATGTGAGTTGTCAGTTTCTGGGAATAAAAAGTTGTCAGTTTAGACGCTATTTGCTTATCCTAGTTTAGGAACAGAATATAAATATAACCCAAACTGTTTCTTCCACTTTTAATTAACTTAGGGCAGCATTCTCCATTCTCATGCTCTCCAAATACATTGAACTTCAGTGCTTAAAACTTCTAGCAACATGGCCAAATTCATACTGTAAACTATAGGAGTTGAAATCCAACACATCTGGGAGCACCATATTGGGGAAGGCTGGCTTATGCTGTCCTCTGCAATAAAAAAAAAATTCAGATCAAGGAACAGTGAGAAGAATCTTATTTTTTGCATATGAGGGATATTAAATATTTTTACCTCTTTTGATACAAGCTCTTCCAATACATCATATTTACACTGAGAGATTAGCTTTGAAACAAGAGTAAAGGCCTAGAAAACACAGAAAAAAATTAAATTATTAAGACTCCTACAATTAAGCACAAGTTTATAGCTCAACTACATTAATGTGTTTATAGTGAAAACTTTCTCTCTAGTCTTTCAGTTGATGTACAGTATTCTCAACTTCAAATGTAGAATCCGTTAAAGTTGCAGGTTAAAGTGACCAGAATACAGTGTAATGTTGTCTTTGTGCATATTTAAAAAGTAAATAATTTAGGTTCAATTGATGCAAAATACAGGAGGGCAGGACATTGTGGTTTTATTAAGCTAAACACTGATGCAGCAGAAAGAAGACAACAGAAGAGTTTTCAGGCAACTGGGAAGTTGCAGTTAGAACTCTTTTTTCCCCCTAAGCTTGTCAAAAAACAGAATAACTATTACAGTATCTCCAACAAAGGGAAAAAGAGATCCTTCAGGGTCCTACTAGATTACTTCTCTCAAGATGTTGCTGGCCTAGCAGCACTTTTAGCTAGCTCCAGACAAGCTTTCCTTTTATTCGACTTCTGTTACTGTTTCCTTGTTGAAACTGCATTTTACCTTGTTTTACTTTCTCTTATTTTTTAAAATGAATATTTATTATTTATATCTTATATTTTTATAAGATTTATATTTTCTAATATTGTTGTGTACATACATATACATTAAGATATAATATTGTGTGTATATATATGTAGACATAGGTATATTATTTATATCAGATCTTAATATTTTTACCCATTTTATTAATTTAAACTCCCGACCTACTGGATCAGAGCGAAGCTGTCCTGTAATGCCAACCAACGCCTTCCAGCCCATAAGCAGGGCAAGAGGACAAGAGCCCTCCGCTACGGTGTGCCACGGTCATAAACACCACCTTGTTAAGCAGCCACTGCTAAACCAACCCAAAAGCTTTCCTCTGGAGCTGTGTTGAAACATAACAAAAACGAAAGAACAGCCAGGCTTCCCCCCCCCCTTTTCTTTTATAGCAACCCAAACGACTCACGTGCTTCGCCCCCTGCGTGAACTCGTGAATGCTGAAGTCGCGGTCGAAATAGGTGCGGATGAGGAAGAAATAGAGGCGAGTACGGAGCCATCTCAATGGGTTGGGGAACCCCAAGAACACCGTCCGCTCCTCCGACTTGGAGTCGCCGTCGCTGCTATAAAAGCGCGCGGGGGGCAGCGGCGGAGCGGTGCCGCGGCCAGAGGCGGGCAGCGGGAGCCCGGCCC